TATATATATATATTATATAATTATATTTTTTGCTTTGGCGCGTCTTGTGTAATTCGAATTAGGAATAGTACATCATGTTATTCTGGTGAAAGTCCGAAATGTCATCTTTGGTCGTATAAGTTTAGGTTTATAAATACACCTAAGTCTGTTTTTACACGGTCTTTTTGTACACGGTTTTGATATAACACGGTTTGAAAATTGAATATTTTTAATGTTTTTACACGATTTTATTCCATTTAGCACGATTTGAAATTTTATGTACTTAAATTTTTTTGTCAAATTTAATTTTTGCGAAGTATGTTCATATTACAAAAGAGTATTTATGAAAGAAAAAAGTCTGAAACCATCGATAGTATCGATAGTTTGCGAACACAATCTTAAAGATTTTAAGTGAATTCCCCTTAGCGCGTACAAACAATTTTTACTGGTCAAAGCAAATGTGAATAGCACTAATTTAATTCTTGTTCTTTAAAAATTCTTGTTTTTCACCAATTTAATAGGTTTTAGAGATTAAGAACAAATCACCCATTTTTGTATAAGATCAATGTCTTTTTTTACACGTTTTTTTTTTACACGGATTCTTCTTCTGGAACCAATCTCCGTGTAAAACAGACTTCTGGTGTATATCTATAATATATATATATAATATATATATATATATATTATATTATATGCATAGAAATATATATAATTAAGCGATTAATATGCAAAAGTTATCTTCAGATATAATATATTACAGCTGTATAAAGAAATCATTAAGAACGATAAATTATAATTGATTACCTACAAAAGCACATAACAATTATTCAGATAATATACAATGTATACCAAGGTCTCTTTGTCTTGTAGCTTTTTTATAATGTCCATTTTTCTTATAAACAAATCGGATTTTTTAAAACTTCGAAGACAAATCTAGAGTTAAACACAAAATATAATGAGTGAATTTAAACATAAAATACGATAAGTGATATATATCGTAGAAAACTGTTACTAAATATTTTTATGAAATGGCTTATTAGTATTAAAATAATTTTAGTCTGACAATGAGAATATTTTAAACTTTTTAATATTTTTTAGAGCTTACGGTTTTTACAAAAAATCTGTAAATTGATCATACCGAGTCGAGTTTATTTTAATGACAAAAAGATAGAAGATATAAAACAATTAGTACGTCTCCCAATCAATATAGGAATTGATTTTTTTTAATAGAGATCGATTGATCCGTGCTCCCGGAATCGTCGACGAAAGTTTGTTACTACTAATAATAGTTTCCAATATTAATTTTTAAAATTAACTAAAATGACCAAATTTGAGCCATCTTCCATGAATCCAACTAAATTTGGTCATCTCGAAACATTCGCGCTTACGTGTTTTTGCTTCATTAGCTTCACCATGTTGAGAGGTATTTGTTGGCGATCATTATATAAATTTTACAAATATGAATATTTCACACAATCAACGATGTCTTTGCTCGAATGCTTTTATACAAACATTTAAAGGTGTTTTAATTAGTCTGCAGACAGATAATAATGCACATAGAATCTATATTTAATACTTGACGTCATATTTTGGCTTATACGGGCATTCATTGCGGGTTTTTATTTACACGGTTACAATGTTAAAACAATTTCAATGGATAAACAACCTATATAAAATGAAGATAAGATTTGTTTGAAAATAATTAACACCTGCGAATTTTTAGAAATACACATTTTAGCTACCTCGTAAGTAAACATTAGCAATACTGGGATTGCGATTATTTATCTTTGCCAATTGGAAAAAAAAACAAACAGTATTTTACTGAATAACTTTAGGCTCAATTTTTTATTAACTTTCTGTATAGTAAGTTATAGTAATGCAAAAAAAACGAAAATGAAAATTTTTATATATCTTTACGTTTCAGAGGTTTCTGAGCTTAGAAAAAATGGATGCATGTGTGTGCGGAAACAAATTTTTGTCGACGATTTCGGGAACACCGACCAACCGATTTGAATAATTCAAAAAAACATTCGATTCGTATTGATAAGGAGAGCTGATTAGTTTTTGCCAAAGGCAGGCCTGGTCGTTTCGAAGATACGGGGCAATAGTGCCAAAAACTGTAACTCAGTTTTTAAGAGAACGGAGCGTCCGATTTTAATAATTCAAAAAACATTTTACTTTTATTGACAAGATAAAAAAACTGATTAAATTCGATCCAAGGTCGGTTGGAAGGTCTTTGCGATTACTATAACTTGCCCTATGGGAAGTTAAACATTCATGTTTTATTCAAAAAGTCTTTTTTACTCAAAGTTCTTTTTTTCGAAAATTTTAAATTTTTCAAAAATCGATTTTTTCAAAGTTTAAAAAAAATTAATATTTTTCAAAAAAAAAGTTTGGTACCTGAAGTTCCAGCAATTTGTCTTAAGGTACGATGCCATACATTTTTTTTTGTTTCGTTAAATATTTCTATGTCATCCGCAGTTTATTAAAAATAATTTACATCTACGATTTTGACTGGCTTTTCCATCCTATACTTACGCCACTCATTTCAATAACTGTCACTTATAAATATAAAATTGGAATCGTTAATATTTAGGATAAATAAATCTTTTGCTATTATTCTGTTATATGGAAAAATTAGCAATGATACGTAATTCTCATTATCATGGTTTTGAACTATTAATTCCATTTGTATTACATTACACAAATCCATTTGTTTAACCTTGGCGCCCGTTTATCGGCCTGATATTATCGGTTTGCTATTTGTGGGCGTCTGTTGCACCATTCGATGATAATTTTCAATAATAGAAAATAACAATGATCGTAAATGCGAATTCAACATGCAATCATGTAATTAAGAAATAATTGATTTTTTTTTTAATATAATGTTTTATATAATAATTTTATTTTTTGTACCTTTAAAACTCAGTAGTTCTCAAAGTTGTTCATATGGACCCCCAGAGGTTTAATCAAAATACTAATTCTAATTGAGTCAATAAATGTTATTGAAAGAATTTCGTTTCAATTTTTTATAATTGTTTATATCAGATATACTAAATGAAGTTATAAGTATATTAAGATAATATTACTTGTAATATTATCTTTAAAATAAATTCCAGAGATAAGCACATTTCTTAATTGAATCGTTGATTTTTTTGTGCGGTTTTAGTTATCTTTAGACATTATCCAATTTGCTGAAATTGCGTTTCGTACAATTTGAATTATATATATATATATATATATATATATAATATATATATATATTATTTATGAGCAGAAATTGAATTCCACAACTCAAGATTCTTACGACCATATATCTCAAGTAGGCATTTGTAATTAACATCAAGCTATTTTTGCGGTAGCCGGCAAATATTAATAAAAAACACATGTTATATATATACATATCTTATATATAAAATTCTTCTGTAATGGGGTATGAAAGGTTAATCATCCTAAACGATTATTCGGATTTTCATAAATCTTCCTGAAGTTTAGTTCCTTGTTAAGGGAATTTTCTAGGATTTTTTGATTCATAGAAATATAGTCAGATTGCAGAAATAAATGGAAAAAATGACAAAAAACTGCTTATCATTGATTGACATTGAAAATATTTGAGGCATTGTTTGACATTAAAAACAATTGAAGACAATTTGACATTAAAAACAAATGAAATGAAATTTGCCAAATATTTCTATTCACTTATAGACTAAATTAAAAATGTAATGTCTACATTATTATTGCCTAAAAGCAGCTGAATGTGCCAAAAATTAAAATATTAAAAAACGTAGATGTGGTTACAACCAACGTCTGTCGGGTCATCTAGTGTATATATATATATTATTATATATATATATATATATTATATATATTATAAATACATATGATTTAAAATCAATACTCTTAATCTTTATCAGTATGAAAATGACTTAAAATCATTCCTCTCCTCAATTCTATTGTATTTGCCCACAACAATTTCTAGTACTTTTAAAATAAATTATATTTATTATACACATTTTTAATCAAGTTTCGATTTAATTAAACTGAATACTAAATTAATAATATATTAATAAAAATTTAAAAAATAATCAATGAAGATTTTAAAATAAACTAATTGTATGTTTCTTATAATTCGTGATTGCTAGCCAAAAAATAAAGTGCCTGTTTTTAGTTGCATGTTTGGAGGGTTTTTTGTTATGATATTTCAAATAAAATTTAATTATTTAATAATATTTTTAGTTTTTTATGCTTTTATTTTGTAGCTTTTATGCAATACTTCATCAGTTTATTGTTGGGCCCATAAAATTATAGAAAAGAGTACTCTATGCATACGTAACTTTCAATGAATTTGCTTTAAAATGAGTCAGGTGAAATGCTTTCAATATATTTATAATTCATTTACTGAATTTAAATAGACACTCATATATGTTTATATTAAACTTGCATAACGACTAATTTTCATTTGTATCAGAATTAATTAATGACGAAACCATCAAATTGAATCTCTGTGCAAATATTAGGTTTCGTGAATCGAATATTAATTAAAAATCGATTATGTGACTAAATGAAACTGTGCCGTGGAGACATATTAGTGATGTTCATGTTAGATAACAAGTAGAAGAATATGAAAGTGTTTGTATGTCGAACAATAATGATAATATAGTTTTGTGCAGTTAATTTATTTAAAATGGTAGCTAAGTCACCTAGAAAATCTAGCAACGTCAGTGATACAGAGTCATATCAGGATAAAAATGTTAGTATGTGCTTTATATAGTTATACTATAGGTATTTATAACATGGAACATAAATCTTACTAATAATAAGTTTGTTGATAGTATCATAAACCACCGATGAACGAAAGATTTACTTTAAAAAAATAAGGATACTAGTAAATTAATAACAAGTTAATCGCCACGATAATATCTCAAAAAAATCATATGGACCATGGTAACTTTATTAGATAATTTAATTAAAAATATATTAAGAAAACTCAATGTATCAAATTCTTTTTTTTTTTTGACAAAATTCCTGAAAAAACACCATTTTTTATATCACACTATATGACTCACATGGCCCTATATTAAATCATTTTTTTTCCTTCTACAAAAGCGTGCATATCAGACATATATGTCTAACATTTTTATTGCTGCTGAAAAATTTAATCTAATAATAAGTAAATTTACATGTCTTTTCTTAATGATTTTTTGTTAATTTATGAATAATTTAAAATAATGTTTTATGATGTTATTCATTTTTATTCATATCAATTGTTTTACGACATATGGCATTTAATCAGCAGCTGATAAAATATCGATGTGTTTTCTCGCAACAAATTATTATTTATGATGCCAATGTTAATATTTTGTTTTAGGCTTCACTATACACGATCGATAATTGATATTGGTTACTCAGAGGTTTAGATAAGACAACAGCGCCAAATTTTTATGTAGATATCCGTTATTATAGTTATGAGATAACATTTTGTTTTACCATTTTTTCTATCTGGTTTTCCTATCACCTAATTTGTTATAGTATAACTAAGATTCATCTAAGAGTGAGGGCCTCACATTTTATACCTCTTGCCGAATTAAATTTTTCATACATGACAAACTTGTGCTTTAGTTTTTTTTGTTTGTTTAATTTAAAATACACAACCGATCCTAAATTCTATATATCTCATTGTCAGTTAGACTGAAATGTCTGGTATGAGAGACATGCAAAAGCATTCAATATGGTATTTCCAAAATGGTCTTCCATCTAAGTATTACTAAATTTACTTATTTTTTTAATAATTGCTATGATTTTTCATAGGATCAATTACGTCGTCGCAGAGAGCAACAGCAGCAGCAGGAGCAAGAGCAACAGCTACTGCGCGCCTCTCTCAGAGGTTCTGCGAAGCTCCGGGCGCTGCAGCAGCAAACACCTCAACAAGTTTCTGCGCAGAAGCAGCAGGCCCTGAAAGGAACCCTCAATGAAGCATACGAACCTCATGAGGATGAGATTCTGGATGATAGCGATAAAGAGGTTGGCGACGAAGATGTTAAAGCTCCTGGGATTACGAGTGAGTAAATTAATACATTGAAAAATATATAAACAAAAAAATTTTTTGGTGGGGTAGAGCGGGGCTAGTTGATCATAGGGGCAAGTTGAGCAATCGAAATATCTCGAAAACTATTCACCGTCCGTTTAGGCATTATATGGTGGAAGATAGAGGTTTGGGAGAAATAAACATCCCGCGATCGCTAGTGGCCGCTGGACAAATGAGTGAGCTCACATGCGTTTTGTTTATTTTGAGACCAAAAAGTAAAAAAGTAATTCATCACGAGTTTTTGTCTGGTTTAGTCAAATGTTATTTATTTTTAATCAGGTAAATGTTATTGCTCCATATAATTATAGTACTTTTGATATGCGCAGAGATTCTGGGTATAATTTTCACGGTTTTTTTATAAACTCACTTTTATTTTGAAATTCCGAGTTGGGGTTAGTTGAGCATAGTTGCTAAACTTGTTCTGTCACTAAAGCAATTACCATTAACTTGCAGAAATTAATTATTATTTTTAAGATTTAAGCTAAGTCTATGAGTAATAATATAAAGAAATAATGATTTTATACAAAAATACTGAATATAATGGTAAAATAATTCCTAAGATACGATATTGTTTTGTTGATTCTACTTTTCGTAGATTGTTCAAAGCAAATTACTATAAGTTTTGTTTTCTCTGTCAATAAAGACTATAAATATAGAACTGGTTATTAAAAACTTATTTTATTTCATCACTAATCGACATTGAACCTATGATTTAATTATACTTTCTTAGCGCTCAACTTGCCCCACCTATGGGGTACATTGAGCATACTTGACTTTTTGCATTTAAACAGCTGTAGCTTTTAAATTTTACTTATTACCAAAAAATAGTATTAACACTTTTGTTAAGCGATAAACCACAAATCTAATAAGCCGTATAGCAATTTATTGCGACTTTTCATTGAGGAGCTACATCCGTTTAAGTAAAAATTTGTTCAACCCCGCCCTACCCTACGGAAAGTTCCAGCAATTTGCCTTAATACACGATGTCATACACCACTAGTTTATATTATCTTCAGAATTTTTTCCTTAATCTAGTGAAAGTAACAGAATAAAATTTACTGCTCAACCTATTCAAAAGCTTTATCTACACCAAATATCTCTTCTCTTTGAATTTTTGTGAACGGTATTCAAATCGAATTAAACTTTTATTCACAATAGGTGAGTTTTGAACCATGACACACCTCTCACCGGGATTGAGTGTTGTAATGGCAAAAATCTTGAATATAAAAAATAAAAATATCGAGTCACCTATATAACAACAACACGCGTTCATTCACGTGCCCTGAGGTGCACGTCCGGTCACGTGCTCAGGTATATCCGCTTTTGGGATCGATGGCAGCAAACAGTATGCTCAATGCATATTGTATTATTACTTAAGCACATATTTGTTTATGTTGATGTTGATGAAGTTTGTTTATTTAATTATTCAAATTATCACGTTTTTCGTCAAGATTTTTATGATCGTTTCCGATGTATATATTTTTTTAGAAAATATCATAACAAGCATGTACAATTCTGAAACTTTCCTAATAAATGCAATCTAAATACGCATATATGTATTTATATGTATATAATAGATGATCCGACTGACGTTATCCTGTACCCACGTCTGCAATTCAATTTTTTTACTATACTTTTTAATATCCTATTTGATGTTCTGCCTTTGTGATTCATTTATGGTCTTAGCATAAGCAGTATAATAAATTCAGAAAAGTATAATATAGTATCTGCGGTAAAAGAACAATATCACACTTGATTTTACCACACAACATTATTGCTTCAATAATTTAGCCTATAATTTTTATAATTTCGTACGATTAATTAGTTGCTTTTTAGTAATTATAATTTCTAAAGTACATTTTTTACTAATAATTTCTATTTAAATCTTAGATGAATTAATTTATAAAATCTAGTTTATATGAGCACTCTTCAATCTAAGATCAACTTGCTAAATTATTCATTATTTTAATTTTTGGCACATCTCAGCTGCTTTTTGGCAATAATAATGTAGACATTACATTTTTTCTTATATATTATATTCTAATATTATTTAGGCTCATAATTTCAGCAAAATTCAAATTTCAAGTGAATAGACATTTCTAGCAGACAGTTCAAATGTTTTCAACGTCAAACAATGATAAGTGATTTTTTTGTAATCGTGCCATTTATTTCTACAATATTACTATAGTTTAATCGTTCATTAAATCTCAAAAATTTCCTAACACAAACTCTAAAAAAATTATCTAAATCCGAATAACCGTTTAGGAGAATCAAATTATGCAACCGTACAGAAGAAATTTTATATATAAGATATATAAACAAACACAGTGACAATTAGTATCTAAGCAACGACACAAAATTGAAAAAAAAAGCAAAAGAAACGACTCAGAGTGTCTAATCTAAAATATTTTCAAACCAGGATATAATAAAAATATTTAATTCATCAAAAAAAACTTTATTTTCAATTATTTTTTGAAAATATTTTATTTAAATATTTTTACATCAATTTCTTAAACAATATGTGGATATTTTCATATAAGTATAAACTTAAATTATCTCAATTTTTCAGAACCGAATATGTTATTCACAGCTATTTTATAGCCGCCATCATAAATTATTTCAATAACACAGTTGTTTTTACAGGATATTATTATATTATTTTGAAAAGAAAAAACTCCTACATTTGTCAAGTGTGTCCATGCGTGACATATCATTTTTATTATAGCATAATATTAATAAATAATCATTTTATCAATATTTTATTTAAATATTTATACATCAATTTCTTAAATACCATGTGGATATTTTTATATGTGTATAATAATTAAATTATTTCAAAGCTTTGGAACCAAATATGTTATTCACAGCCATCTGATAACAACCATCATAAATTATTACAATAACAAAGTTGTTTTTACAGGATATTATTGTATAATATTTGAAAAATCAATCTTAAGTTTGTTCATATATTATTCAAATTTCAATTCAAAATATTTAATTCATAACTTATAATAATTTTGTCCACATTCACAGCAATAATTTAAGTTATAAAAAAGAACGAAAGGAAAAAAAATTAAAGAGCGATACTTTTAAATCACTAAACTGGTCATAAGTTCTATTCAACGTTTTAGCTGTTTGAGGAAATAACTTTAGTCAATCCTTTTAGTACATAATGAATACTTAAAAATCATTTTTCTTTATTTTGTATTTTCTGAAACTAGAAATTTGCTTGCACTAACTAGGGCTAACATTATAACGCAATTTTTTATTATACTTTTTTTTAAATGTGTAGGGAAAAAAGTAAGAAGATTAAATTTCAATTACATGTGTAGTCGCCTATTATCTGATTACTGAATGAAACTGTTTCTTTAATTTCAGCATACGCCGAGCTGACGGCAGCATTATCACGCCTGCAGCAGGCTCTGAGGGCTCACTCTGCGTTGAGTGCGCGTTGCGCTCGGGCGACGCAAGCGCTGCAATCGCAACGAGTTGCAAGGGCGTTGCGCACCAGGAGGGAAATATGTGCCAGACGTCTCGTGGACAGGGCTACTTCCGACGATGCTCAAGGGTTGGCCAGAGAGGTAGAGCATAACACTCTAATAAAAATTGTGAAAAAATTAAAACTTGAATATTTAAAGAAAACTCTTGATAAACATAAATATTAGTTTTTTTTATTAGTCATACAATATGTTGGAATAGAATTTTATAAGAGTTTTTGTAAATGATGTGTTTAATTTTCATTTTTCTTTTTAGTGTACAGATATGTTGCGAGAATTGACAGCATCGGTGCCACTTGCCCCAGCAGGACCTTGGGAGCATCTGCAGGATCTGTTAGCATAAGTACGGCTGCAGCTGCTAGAGAATTATGTGATTTGTTAGGCACTTACGAAATGGAAGGGCTGCTGCAGGCGCACGATGGCGTTATTAAAGCAATACCCAAAAGTGCTATTTCACATGTGAGCAAGATATATATTTTTTATATAATAATAATTTTATTCATTATAAGAGCATGGTCATGGTTAATTTATACAAATGACTGATGAAAAAATATTCTTTCAGAGTCCTAAGCCTGTAACCAGGCCACATCTTTCTGCATCGGCCGCTAGTTCAATTGGTCAAGTTGGTTCAACAACAGCACCAGCATTACTAGCAGAAGATGATGGTGTCAGAATTATTCAAATTGAAAAAACCAATGAGCCATTAGGCGCCACAATCAGGTTAGAGACAACAATAGTGTATTTACCAGTACACTTCTTAATACTTAGTAGAATAAAATTTACATATTTCACCTGGAACATTATAAATTATAATTTATAACTATTTATTTTATAATAGACAAGAATTCGTCATATCATATATCATATATATCATAATATATTTGTGATACTTCGGTATCTTTCCAATTACTCTTTCCTTTTTTGAAAATAATCAGAAGAAACATATTAAAACCTGCACAAAAATCTATTAATGTTATTAATAATTATATTAATGTATTATTGATAATTGATTTTATAATATTATTAAATAACTTTTCAGGAATGAAGGTGAATCTGTGGTTGTGGGTCGTGTAGTTAGAGGTGGTGCTGCGGAAAAAACTGGTTTATTGAGAGAAGGAGATGAATTGTTAGAAGTAAATGGTTTACCATTAAGAGGTAAATCTGTGAACGATGTGTGTGCTGCTTTAGCAGGAATGACAGGAACTCTTACACTTCTGGTTGCTCCAAGGTATTTTGAGTTATGCTATGATGATTTATATTTAGTAATTGATTTAAGTATAGGAGTCCAATTATGAAGAGCCGATTCATTAATAAAGCAAGCAATTTAATATATAAGAATATTTTAGTAATTACCATTAAACAATTTTTACCTGCAATGAATTCCTCAATAAACACTGCCTGCTCAGAACAATATGCCATAGATGTTGCAACTTTTTTTTTGGGTTATTTTTCCAACCAAACTGTACACAGTACATTCAGCTATGTATTATTACAGATATATAATATATATATATATATATATATATATATATTATTTGACAGCATGAGAAGGATCAACTATGGCCGCACCCCATAGTTGTAGGCCGTAGGACCATATTGGTTTAATAATTGTCTTGTATATTAGGAGTTTATTTTCTATTGTGACTTGTGATTTCCAGCCCATTAACCAAGATGTTGCAAATTAACAGAATTTTATAAAATTGATTTGCTAAAATTTTATGTTTATTATTTTAGATCTCGTCTCACTCCACCTGTGGCTACTGCTGCAGCAACTGCTCCATCTGTCCTGCATGTTCGTGCGCATTTTGATTACGATCCAGAAGAAGATTTATATATTCCATGCCGAGAACTTGGAATTGGATTCCGAAAAGGAGATGTACTTCATGTCATTGGACGCGAAGATCCTAATTGGTGGCAGGCTTTTAGAGAAGGTATAGCTATTATTATAACTAAGTATTCCTTTTCGCTGTGTATATTAAGACAAAATATATAACAAATTTGAAATTGAATTAAAAAAATATGGTAGCTTAATACTATTTTTTGTAACAGGTGAAGAAGACCAGACTTTAGCAGGTCTGATACCTAGTCAAGCATTCCAACATCAGAGGGAATCTATGAGGCAATCACTAGCATTGGCTGCTGCTGCAGCAGCTTCTGGAGATAGCACAAAGGTAAATGTTGTTCTTAATTATATATTAACTTTAATTGACTAAAACTATGTAGCTTTATTAGGAGTATGTAAATAAGATTAAATACCAATTTAGTAGTGTTATTACTGAATTGATATATTTTACCATTTTTCTTGTTTGGTCTTTTTATAGATTCTGTTATTGAAAATAATAATCTTTCCTAATATTCTCAGGCAGGATCAAGGCGTGTAGCAGGAACTTTACTCTGCTCCAGAGCCAAACAGCCAAAACGCAGAAAGCGAGGAATGGTATCTGGAAGTGGGGCTGGTTTAGGAGTAGGTGGAGGTAGTTTAGGCAAAGGAAGTGGAGGCAGTGAATCTGGTTACCCACTATATTCTTCAAATAGTGGCGATGGTTAGTACTACAATAATAAATTATCTAATTCATTTCAATCTAATTTCATCAAACAATTGTGTTTATTTAGAACCAGAACCTATTGATCAAATTCTAACATATGAAGAAGTGGCTCTGCATTACCCAAGAGCAGATAGACGTAGACCAGTTGTGTTAATAGGACCACCAAATATTGGAAGGCACGAACTCAGGCAGCGATTAATGGCAGATCCAGCTGGTAGATTTGCAGCCGCTGTACCACGTAAGCATTCAAATTGAATTTATTTTTCTATGTTACAACCGTTTTGTATAATTTGTAAGAATATTAAATTATTTGAAGTATATTTTGATTCATTTATTAATCAAAATTATTATCAATTTTGATTACCTCGAATTATCAAGTGTTTCATTTATTAAAACCCAACGTAAACATTGCTAAAAATCAACTGTGATAAATATAATTAGTACATTTCATACATAATATTTATATTGTGTTATAAGATTCCAAACTAATGATAATTTGCTACGACAGACACATCTAGACCTAGAAGTGAGGGAGAAGTTGCTGGCCAAGATTATCATTTTATATCACGTGCTCAATTTGAAGCTGATATCTTAGCTAGAAGATTTGTTGAACATGGAGAATATGAAAAGGCATATTATGGTAAGTACTAAATAAATTAAGTATTTTAACATTAGATTATTATTTCTTTCTTGTACTAAATTGCATAATAAAATTAACTTCAAATAAAAATAAACAGTAAATAATTTCAGTTAATACATAAGTTATCTGTTAAAACTTTCTGTTTGATTTAAGGTATATTCGAGCACAAAATGTTTTTATAAAAATTTGAATTACCTTTTAAAAATGTTTGTTTTTGTATAAACTCTAATTTCTTGTCAGCTTCAATGAGTTGAGTTTAAAATGAGTTAAATAATGCCAAGATATTTAAATTTTCATAAATTTTTCTAGTTAGTATATTGGTCTTCGAATAACTTTTTTTTTTATTTATAGGTACATCTCTTGATGCTATTAGATCCGTAGTAGCATCAGGAAAGATTTGTGTTTTGAATTTACATCCGCAATCTTTGAGATTGCTGAGAGCTTCAGATTTAAAACCATACACTGTTTTGGTAGCTCCTCCTAGTTTAGAAAAACTAAGACAGAAGCGATTAAGAACTGGTGAACCTTATAAAGTGAGTCAAACTTATTCATATTATGTCAAGATTCTTTTATTCTTTGAATTAGTTATTAGTTAAATGGAAAATTATACATAATAATATAATACATCTGGATGGATAATCCATATATTTGCAGGTAAATTTTAGCTCATTTAAAACTAAAAGAAAATATCGCACTGAATAGGTTGCTAATGCTTATTAGCATTTGGTAAAATTGGTGCCAGCTTCAAAAATAAAAAAAAACTGTATTCATATTTAGAGTATTTATTAACTGCATGATTTGTACCTTACAGTATCTTACTTTTTTCATTTGCATTGTAGGAAGAAGAACTAAAAGATATCATTGCAACTGCAAGAGAAATGGAAGCTCGTTGGGGCCATCTGTTTGATATGATAATCATAAATAATGATACAGAACGAGCTTATCAGCAATTATTGGCAGAAATTAATAGTCTAGAAAGGGAACCTCAATGGGTTCCTGCAGCTTGGCTACATTAATAAAAACAAGATTCAAGATTTAACTTTACACTTGGATTTTGAGGAGGTAAGAGAGAAATATGTAATATGTACATACATATAAGTTTATGAGGTCGTACAGAGAGGTTGATAGTCATGTAGTTATTTAGAGTGAGAGTAGTGACAAGCTGGATTGTTGTATCTGTATATAATAAATTTGTATTGAAATTTTTGCAGTATTAAATCTGTGCTAAAAGTATGAGTGAATTAATAAAATAAGATTTTAAAAATTTATATAGTATCAACACGAATATCAAAAAAAAGTTTTTATAGGTGTTCTATTATACGAAGCACTCGAAAACATTAAATCTTTATAAATGAATGTTGATCCTGTAGATTACATTGGAGAGTAGACTTTGGAAGTATTTTATGCTCAACAATTTTAGTACTTTCAATTAAAATAATAAAATTACTTGCATAAATTAATAAAAGTTCTATTCAAATTCCCAAACTGAAGTCCCTGGTGGACATTTGTGTAATTAGAATACATAAAAAATAGTGAGATTGCAAATTGTTTACAATATCTCAATAAAATATTCTATGTCTTCTATCTACTTAAAAATTATATCGAAATAAAACAGTAGAAAATTTACAATAATAGGTTTAACATGCATATTCACAATGTAGACATAAAGATGCATATTCAATTTTTGTGAGAATTAAGGAATAATAGATGAAATTATTAGGTCAAATTGACACCCCATAAAACGTGCTCAATATCATCTACTTACAATAAATTAAAATTTTTTAAATATAGATAAGTTGCCAAATCGACAGAGCCTTACATGGATATGAGATGAGGGACTGTTAATAAAAATTATTTAATTCATATGTGCATTTGTATTGTATATATTGATAATTATAAAATAGTACGTGTTTATCAATGAAATTGTGGACGTTAGAAAAATAGCATTTTGATTTGTGTGTAAACTAATATATCTACTTATATGTGAAATTCATGTATATTTTTTAGACTTTATTTACCTACTTAAATTTTACTTATGAGTAAAATAAATACCCCAAAAATATACTAAATAAGATATGAATTTATAAACATATATAATATAAACAACACTTGTCTTAATATTATGATATAATTTTGACCTAATGTGCAATTTATTGTGTTATTGTTTACGTTTTCTATCCGTTGGATTAGAAAGGTTAAATATTAAAAAGGGAGTTCTTGCATAATTTATTTTAATAAGTATTGAGTTTATTTGAAAATTCATCATTGTTTAAAATTAGTAAAATATATTGCAATTTCTAAATAAATGAGAAATATCAATCTGAAGTAATGTCCAGTGATCATAGTTTGTTGCATATAAAGCTATTTGATACA